TAGTCCATTGCTGCCTTTGTGCCTGGCCTGCCTCGCTCTTGTCCTTTCCTGTTAAAACACATCGCCAGTTCATACCCCAGAGTCTCACATTCCTGGACTCAGACGAACCCTGGCGGTTAAAGCATGAGGTCTAAGATCACTTCTAGCAGCCTTCACCTTCATAGGAGCACAGACAAACATCTCCATCTAAAAGAGAAGCTTGAATAGCTGTGCCTCCTGAAATCTCCTTTACTCTGCCCCTCCCATCGTGCTCTGGGAGGTACGTGCACCACCCACCCCCATGCCCTACTTAGGCTTTCATGGCTTGGCTGAATCTCGGCCCTGAGGCCTTGCTCCATGTATGACTCTACTTTTGCTCAGTCCTTGCTCAGGCAAACTTCCATGGACTTCGCGGGATTGAGGCCTTTAGGCCTGGGCCCTGTAGCTTCCATCCTAAAATCACTACAGACAGTTACGAACTGAGCTAAGGGGGGAGGCTAGACAGTGCAGCAGCACTGCGCTGCCCCCAAGGGAACATGGCTAGTGCTGCACCCACCTCTCCCCTCTCCCACACCTGCGAGAGTCGGCAACAAACGCTTGGGGAATGCAAGCTGTTCCTTCTGAGAGTCGGTGTAAGGAGAACTCCCCACCACTCTCCTGGAATCAGTCACCCAGTCACGCATGCTTGGGGATTGGTCCTGCTTTGAGCAGGGGGTTGGACTAGATGACCTCCTGAGGTCCCTTCCAACCCTGATATTCTACAATTCTATGATCAATCCATCGAGGTCTCCATCTGGCCCTGATCCCTGCGGCGTCTGGGTCCGCCCTGTGCAGGCAGATTGTCCCAGAGCACATCAGCTGCTTCATGCCACACCCAGTGTTCCAGCAAGGGATAGGGCAGGGATTTGGCCCTTTGTGAGGTGAAGTGGGACAGCCACCAGAGGGTTGGGATCCATGGCTCCAGCATCACCTTTCCCCTGTCCCTTCCCGTGGGAAAGGCAAAGCTCTGGCCTCAGTTGCTTGCTTGGAGTCCCATTTATTCTGATGGGTCTGCGGGCAGGACTGGGCCCCTGCGGTCCAAGGTACGTCCAGGAGAACTAATTGACTTTTGAGGGCTGTTTAAATTCCATTTCATTAAAAGTTCAGAAGAGTCCAGCCAGAGGAACAAGCGCGATCACCTGGGCAGCAAACTCACCCCTCGTAGGCTGCAGGCCAGCTCAGTGATGCAGTCCGCTCGGACAGTGTGTTAATCACGACGTAGAAATGGGCCCTGGACCCCAGGGCCAGATGCTGAAGATTTATAGCACATGCCACGTCATCCAGAACGTGTTAGTGATGATGGGAGCCAGCACCAAATAGCAGGAGTGCTCGTCAAACTGCGCCCCCCTCAGTCCAGCCAGGGCTCAGAGCACACGCCTCCGGCAGGCTTATCCCACAAGAACAGGTCTCAGCCCCATAGAGCCAATGGATTCGAGGGGGGTGGCATCCTGCTCTAGGAGGTACGTGCACCACCCACCCCCATGTCAAAAGATTGGCAATGCCTCCACCCACTAGCCTGGCCATCTCCCTTCCAATGAGTCTGCAGCATCAGGCGGCCTGTCCCCCGCTAGGTACGCACTGCCAAGCAACCCTGAAATAAGCCTCACCTGCCGGAAGGCATCATCCCCTGTTTACACGAGACAAGGAGGTCATCTGAAGCTTTGAGTCTTCATAGATCGGTAGCCGTCAAAGCCACAAGGGAGCAGCAGATCACCCAGTCTGCCCTGCTGCATACCACAGAACTTCACCCAGGGGTTCCTGCATTAAGCCCAAACACTTGTGCTCGAACCAGGGCCTATCCTTTATACAGCATCCAGCCTTGACTGAAGGACTTTAAGGGATGGAGAATCCCCCTGGGTAATTACCCCTACGGTTACAAAACTGAGCCGGATTTCTGATTTGTCTAGCGTCACCTGCCAGCAATTGGACCTCATTCTGTGGTTGTCAACTGGAGTGAAGCGCATTCTGCTAGCAGATATCGTCTCTTACATATCGGCCGGGGTCAGGCAGCACTTCTTGGCTTTCTCTTCCTGGACAAAGACCCTAAATTGTGCCCTGGAGCTGGAAGAGGCAAAGACTACTAGGTCATGTACCGAGCAGGACTTTAAAGAAGGGGATGGCTGTTGAGACCTGTGAGATTCCTGCCTCTCTGCGCCACCAACCCACGCCCTCCCCAGCTGGTGGACCCCCAAGGCGAAGGCTGACCGTGGGGGGGCTCTCACCTGTGATCAGGTTGTCCAGGAGGGTGGTTGGCACACAGAAGATGCCCACCAACAGGTCACTGATGGCAAGGTTCAGGATGAAGAGGTTGGTGACCGTGTGCATGCGCTGGTTCCTCACCACCACCAGGCACACCAGGGAGTTCCCAGCCATGCACAAGAGGAAGATGCAGAGGTAAGTAACAATGAAGACAGCTGCCACTGCTGGAGAGTGCTGGTAGTACGGGAGGAAGGTGCCATTAAGGTGCCTGCCATCCATCGATCTCAGGGTCTCGTTAGCAGAGGTTTCCTTCTGGAGAGACTCGTGGACAGCCATGATCTCAGCACGCTGACCTACAGCACAACAAGCAAAGTTTCAGCATGCCACCCAGGTGCCTGGGTCTGCTAGCTCTCAGCACCGGGGGTGGGAGGGATAGCTCAGTGGTTTGAGTATTGGCCTGCTAAACTCAGGGTTGTGAGTTCAATCCTTGAGGGGGCCATTTAGGGATTTGGGGCAAAAATCTGTCCGGGGATTGATCCTGCTTTGAGCAGGGGGTTGGACTAGATACCTCCTGAGGTCCCTTCCAACCCTGATATTCTATGATTCTATGAGGGGGTTTACCAGTCGTGCGGTGACTGTTATAGATCACACTGGGCTAGCACGTCAGAGCCCAGAGCAGGGATCAGGTGCTGTCCACACAGGTGACAGTTCCAGCCCTAGAGAGCTTACTGGGGCAGGGAACAAGGAGTATAATATGACTCAGCGGCCTGATCTTTGCTACAAACATAGGTTGACCGAGTCGATTTGCATTGCCTGAGTTGTGCATGGGCCTTCACCAAAATGGGCCTCCCAGCGACATAAGTGCTCCATAACAGCAACCCAGTACCCACATCCCTGAGCCACACAGAGCCACAGTTGGGCATCTTAGGTTGATGCAGTGTGAGGTAGGCATTGCATGACCTGTATCAACCCTAACAGTCCTCCAGCAGCTGTCCCACAATTCCTCTGGTCCCATGACAATGGCCGCTCTGGTCACAATTTGGAACTCGACCGTTTGCGGGGGTGACTGAGAGCGAAAGCCCGCCGTCTGTGGTATATCCCTCGTCCACATGCACATGTGCTGCATATCCTCATCGCGAGTGGGTATGCGATGCAGGACGGGGAGATATCCCAGTGTGCCTCATGCCTGGGGGGACATTTTCTCAGTGCTTTGTGGGATGCTACTGGTTTGCCCAGGGATTTCTGTGAGCTAGGAGTCAAATTCCCACCATGATACTTTCTCCATCCCATAATGCTTATACCATCCCATAGTTTTCATGCTGTTTTTTAAAATCCCCATAGTCCCATACAATGCTTTCCAGACTCCACCATCTCTCTGAAAGAAACCTGGATTCTGCACAGCTCAGCATGATTCTCATGAGCGTTGCTAATATAGGACACGTGATTCTCCTGTATTTGCAGAACCTGGACGCGTTGTACAACTACAACGTGGGGTACGATGAGGAAGAGTAAGAAATGTTCAGGCACGATAACTGGAGGCTGATGGACGGAGTGGAAAAAAAAGCCAGGTCGCTGCTGGCATTCACAGAGCAGCTCCACACGGCGGATTGCATCTTCTGGGCCTGAGAAATGAGCACCGATTGGTAGGATTGCATTGTAATGTAGGTTCCGGACAATGAACAGAGGCTGCAGAACTTTTGGATGCAAAAGGTAGGGTGACCAGATGTCCTGATTTTATAGGGACAGTCCTGATTTTTGGGTCTTTTTCTTATATAGGCTCCTATTACCCTTCACCCCCTGCAGTGGGGGAGGTTTAGGTTGGATATTAAGAAAAAACTATTTCACTAGGAGGGTGGTGAAGCACTGGAATGGGTTCCCTAGGGAGGTGGTGGAATCTCCTTCCTTAGAGGTTTTTAAGGTCAGGCTTGACAAAGCCCTGGCTGGGATGATTTAGTTGGTGATGGTCCTGCTTTGAGCAGGGGGTGGGACTAGATACCTCCTGAGGTCCCTTCCAACCCTGATATTCTATGACTCTATGAGGAGGGAGGCAAACATCAAGACCATCCAAAGCGTCTGACCTGCTGAACTGATCATTAACAGGAAAAGGGGTATGGAGAACCAGCGGTATGGAGAACCTTGGGTCAAATTCTGCTCCCAGTTACTCCAGTGCCAGGCCATTGGAATCTGCAGGGCTGCACTGGTGTAACTGAGTGAAGCATTGGCCTCATCAGTGATGTGGCTGTTGATAAACAGTAGGTCAGGGGAACTGGCCAAAGCGCTTGGCTTCGGTTCTCAAAAACCTTTAGCAATCAGCTGTGGTTGTGTAAACCCCAAACCAGGGGTTGTTTTGGACCCAGATCCCATTGGATCTCAACCCAGGGGTATGGGCAGTGCCAATAACAGATGACATTTTTGGCTCATCTCTAGTTGCCAGTACTTGGATGAATTCACTTGTTACAAACTGGCAGGTCCAGATAACATGGATTTAAGGATGGGAAAGGAATGAATTCAAGCACTGTCAAACTACTAAAACATCATTTTTATTAATAAGGGGGTATCAAAGGGCTAGGGACGAAAGAGAAAATACGGTACAATTGTCAGAAATGAAAACAACCATCCGGGCAGTTACTACAGTGCACATACAAATTCAATCCAAAATAACAGAATGGCCCAAAAAATAAGTAGCAGAGGAAATACACAGCCATACCTAGAGGACGAGGGATGAGCACCTGGCTAATAAAAACTGACTATTCCAAAATCGATCAAATTAAACCCACACGAGAATGCAGTCGAGCTAATCTCTCTAGATTTTAATCCGGCGTTTACTAATGTTCCTTGAAATCTTCCTTGAACTTTCACCCAAACAGTCTGCGGGGTAAAGCTGAAGGACCATAATGCCGGGGATTGCTAAGTGGAGACGTATCAAACAGGGAGGTGCCACGGGGAGTAGTGGTAGGTCCAGGTTTGCATCACATTTGCACTACCCAGCTGAGAGTTGGGAGTGTTACAGAAACCTGTGGAGTCTGCGCCACAGCATGGAGGCTCTGGAGAAGTTAGTGCTTTGGGCAGAAAATAACCTGGCATCGTTTTGCTCCGGGACATGAGTGACAATGCATCTGGGAGGGGAATCCTTTGACATGCCCATTGTCAAGGGGCCTGTGCTTGGAGAGCAGTAATGCCAGGAGAAGCCTGTAGGGGACACCGGAGCGCTTGCTGGGGGATACAGCAGCAAACATGGCCAAGGGTCTGAGTCTGATTCTACCTCTACTGCGGCAATGCCGGTGGGCTTACTCCTGATTGACACCAGCATGAGACCAAGATGTGACCCAGAGCGATTTGGGGCTTTGCATGCTGCGGGAAGGGCAGGGTGGCTGCTCTCGCTGGCTCTGGTGGGACTGGGATGTTGCTTTAGGACCGGGGAGACTGAGTCCCAGCCAGCCGGCTACACAAGGAGGGGATTGGGAGAAGAACAGGTAAAGCAAGTGGGGCTGGAAGGACTGACCCATCACAAGGAAAGGCTTCAAGAACTATGTCTAAGGAGTGGCACGGCAAGACATCACCAGCTCCGAGTGAGGAATCCGAGACAGAAGCATCAACGAGGGCGCGACGGAGCCCAGCGGGATGGGGTAGGACTGAGAACAGGCCAATGTGTAAAATATCTTCGCATCTCTGCCATCCAGGTGACCCCACGTGCAGCATGGCACACATCTGGGCTAGCCCCGTTTCTGCTCCTGCCAATGAATCTCCTCCCCTTCACACGTGGCAGCTCTTCTTCTGGTCCATTTGGCTTCCTCGCACACGTCACTCGCCTCTCCAATAGGCTGTGAGTCAGCACAGAAGGAACTTTGATTTCCCTTACCCCCAGGTGAGGCTTTGACAGCTACACTCCCGGCGGCAGAACGATAAACCCTCCTGCTAAGCAGCAGCGAGGCCTGTGGCACCTTATAGACTAACAGACGTATTGGAGCGTAAGCTTTCGTGGGTGAATACCCACTTCGTCGGATGCATGCTCCTGCTTAGGACACATTGATGATCAGAGGAGCATGAACTGTCAGGAGTAAGGAGGAAACTTCCCCTAGGCACAACTCACTGCATAGATGTCAACTTGGGGGTTGCACCTTCCTCTGACACACCCTGTGCTCTCCACCACCAGAGACAGAATAATACCAGACTAGATGGTATTATTATTGGTCTGATCCAATCCAGCAATTTCCTGCTACATTCCCTGCTATTCCCAGCCTCTGTTCCATACAACTCTGTCAGTGCATTTCCATTCTGACCTGCAGCTCCCCAAACCACCCATCTTCCCCCATTCTAGCCAGCAGCAACCCCAGCTACTCCAGCCCCAGAGCAACAGCCCTATCCTGCCCCCGTTACTCTGAAGAACCCCACTGCGGTCCCTGAGCACAGTGAGTGCGATGTGAGAACAAGCCTTGTGCGCCGCTAAGAGCTAAAGAGTTAACGCTGCTCCAGGCCATTCTGTTAAGAAGAGGGCAAAAATCTAACTTGAAGCAGAAACTGCAAAAGTTTGATTTTGTTCTATAAAAATCCATCCTCCCTGGGCACATTTCCTACGCCCCAAACATTAACAGCACCAAGTGTTCACGTCCCCTGTCTCCTGCAGAGCTCTATGCTCAGCTTTCCTGCCTTGGCTCAGAGAGGAGGTGGTTTAGGTGTGAATCAACTCATGCAGCAAAAACCAAGGATCAGCTCTTTTGTTTTGAATTAGAAACCAGAGAGGTTAGTTTAGCTGAGGTGCCTGCTGAGAACAGATGATTCACTTATTCAAGATCCGAACCGCAGCATTACCCAGCACATCTCTACTTAGAATTCAGTCTAAGACATTGTAGGAGACAGGCCAAGGGCTGAGATGGCTTTATAACCTTTCAAACTTTTCCAAACCATCCTTTCCACAGCTGAGCTGAGTTTCAGCTCCTTGTTATTTACCCTTCCTTTAGACAGGGGTTCATTTTTCATTCCCCCACCCCCAAGAGATCTGTTTCCAAGCTGGAAAAAGAATGCCCCCCTTTTCTATTAATAATAATAGAGGGAAAGTATTATATGTCATCCCCTCTATGAAAACTACCCACTTGACATGATAAGAAGCATTAACCCAGCCATCGGAGACTAGCGCATCACGGTCATTTCAGAGGGAATCTTGAAAGCTCTGTTTGGAACCGAAAGGAAAACCCAGATATTTTTGCTTCAGCACAAATTGCTTCTGTATTTTTAATCCCCATCCCACTCTGAGCAGTGATTACACCAGCATCTGCAAGGTAAGCTGGTCATTTACAGTACAAATGACCACACTTTTTCAGTGTGGATTTATCCATTAAAACAAAGCTCAAGGTTTCTGGCACCGGCAGAATCGAATTAGGCACCAATTTCCCTGGATTGCAACACTTCTTTGTGAAGTTTTCTCCCTCCACCCTTTTCACTGGCAAAAGGCAATACATTGAGCCCACGCTGTCAAACAACAGAGCCCTTTCAAAGCGAAACAACAAGAAAATGGTCAAATATTTTCCGCTTCCTTTTTTTGGCAGGGAAACAAACTGCCCATCCCACTCACCTGTTAAAGCAGTGTCATGGTAGCAAGCACAGTCTCCTGATTCTGGGATGTCTGCAGATCTCTCTTGCCCAGATGGGGCATGAGAGCTAGTCGAATGTTCCCAAAGATACAGAAGGTTTGAGTCTCTGATACACATTAGATCCTTTCCCCTGGATGGTGTTAACTCCGCAGTGTTCCTGAACTGCCTGAGAGGCTGCTGTCTCCATCACATTATAAACCTGGGGGCAGGTGAGACTGTGATGTCAATCAAGCAGAAATACACCCACAGATTGACTCTCACGTCCACACAGTATCCTACCTACACAATCACACCTGCATCAGGAATCTTTCTGTTTCACATACATTCCTGGTCACTCCTCAGCATATGCATACTCTGCTCTGGCAGACCGGATGCTACAGTACCATTTCCCTTGCTGTAGAGATGCCACTTTCCCTTGTGCATTCAGTTTTCGGAAGCTTCCATTGTGCTGGGTGGCCCCTGGGTCCTAAGCAGTGTCAGGGAGGGAAGAGGGGGAGCAGAGCCGGTCCAGGCAAGGCAGCTTTGGCAGGGGGTGCATTGCAGGACAGCTTTGCGTGTGGAGAGATATCCCTGCAACCTGTCTCCCTAACAGCAAGAAACACAGCCCGGGACCAGGAGAGCAGAGGGAGAAGTCCATGGGGCCCAGATGTCTTTAGCTGAGGTGTGAAATGAGGCTGGAGAAGAGTTTGGAGGAGAGGACGCAGACACAGTTACTGAGGAGGGGATGAGTTTGGAGTGGGGAGGGGTATGTCTGCCAGGTTAGCATGGTGTGGGCACACTTTGAGATTCAAGGCTGCGATTTCCAAAGGCGCCTAAGGGAGTTACATGCCCAGTAGATTTCAGTGGGATTGGGGTGCCTAATTCCCTTGGGCTCATTGGATATCCCAGCCCAAAGCAGCAACTTCAGCTTTGCCCAAGGTGAAAAACGCTCCTTCCCAGGGCCGCCTGTAGGAAACCCGAGCCCACACACAACAAACCCAGCCACAGCAAAACAAAGACAACAGCAACCAACAGTCTCCACACACAGACCCAGGGGCAGGGCTCCAGCC